GCAATGATGGTGCCAACTTGGGCCAGTGAAGCAACGTCCTCCACAACTAGACTGAAGAACAAAACGACAGCAACTTGTCTGTTCCCCTTCCCCTATTCCTCAACGCTGTTCCCATCCCCCAATTCCCCAATAAAAATCTTTAAAAAAAAATAAATAAATGTGCAGTCTATGGTCATAGCTTCATGAGCTGGCAAGAAATAGCAAAATGGCATAGTACTCTGAATAAGTTGCTGCTGTTACAGAAAGTAGAGTAAGAATAGAAACAGTAATGAGAATTTAAAAAATAATGTTCCAAATTTCTCCACATCTCTCATTCTTTCTACTTCCTATAGAGAAAAAAAATGTGATAATTATTATAGATTAATTTTAAAACCTGATCTTCAACTGAACCAGCTGAAGAATAAACTAAATCAGAGGACTGACTACAACCTCAGGATATTCATCTGTTCATAATACCCCAAAACACCAAGAAATCATTGCAATCCCCAAAAAAGATAAAGTCCTAAGTAGTCCCTGAACCCTAAAACGATTGGCATTTGAGTTGTTTACTTCTAAAAAATACTTATAACCACCAGGAAATGGATAGGAAAGCTTTTTGGCTATTCTAACATAGCCAACTCTAAATACTGTTGTCAATAATCTCAGTTTTTCACATTCTTTTTAACTCTATGGGACAAAAAAAATTAAAGTGCAAGGAGTTATTTAACTGTTCCTCTCTCCATGAAGAACATTTAGAAGCTGATTGATTAATTTGGACAATGCAGACGGTAAAATTGAATAATTGCGGTCTGAATAGGTTCTTTATCTGCATTTATTCATCCAGTATTTATTGAGCACCTATTTGCCAGATATTGTGCTATGTTCTGGAAATTTAAAAAAGTTGTCTTTTAAAAGACTGCAGTTAAGTCAGGCAATTATGACTAAGTAAGGAGCATATTCAATAATCAAAATAATAATCAGACAATTACCAAATTTATTTTACTTTTAGGCTGTATTAATAGAAGCTAATGCAAGTCTAGTACGTAAAAATCATGGACTTTATTGTGCAATGAATAATCTAGAACTATCTGACTTAATGCTCTAGGAATATCTTAAAGCGCTATGGAGAATTAAAGTAACTTTTGTTCAGTCATATCTAACACCTTCGTAGTCCTAGGAACCCCATTCTCTTAATGGAATTTAAAAACCAACTTACAAAACGTTTTCTGGAAGCTTCTATGAAATCTTAACATTACTAGGTCTTTCAGTCTTTAAAAAGTGAATTGGGGGCCGGCCGAGTGGCTCAGTTGGTTAAGAGTTAGCTTAAGAGTGCGAGCTCTGAGCAACCGGACCGCCGGTTCGATTCCCACATGGGCCAGTGACACTGTGCCCGAGCTGAGCTGCCCTGAGCTGCCAACAGGTAGCAGGATGGCTCAACTGGTGAGAGCACATGCTCCTAACAAGACTACCTGTTCCATGGTGGGCTACGCCCGCCCGCAACTAAGACTGAACTCGGCACCTTGAGCTGAGCTGCCACCCGGGATGGCTCAGTGGATAGGGCGTGCGCTCTTAACAACACGGCTGCCGGTTTGACTCCCACATGGGGTGGTGGCTATGCCCACCCACAACTAAGATTGAACACAGCAACTTGAGCTTAGAGGCCACGAGCTGCCGATGGACAGCCAGGTGGCGACTGGCACCCTCCACAACTAAGATTGAAGAACAATAACTTGGCTGGTCCCCCTCCCCAATTCCCCAGCACTGTTCCCCTCCCCCAATTCCCCAATTTAAAAAAAAAAGTGAATTGGACATGTAAAATTCAATCTTCTATCATTTTAATTCAATCTATCTTGATAACGCTTTATAAAAGATATTACTAATTTGATATTTTCCATTAATTAGTCTACTTAGCTGAAATAACAAGCTGTGCATGTTCCAAAACAATGTGGAATGAGCATATGCACGTTACACTAAGTCTTTCCTTTCCCATGCTGTTATCTGACCAACTGCACATAATTAAAGAAAAACATTATCCATCAGCAACAAATGTAAGGGCTGTCAGCTCATAACATTTACANTGTTCCCCTTCCCTGATTCCCCAATGCTGTTCCCCTCCCCCAACTCCCCAACAAAATCTTTAAAAAATAAAAAATAAAATAATAACTCAGGTAATAACTAAAACTGCGCTTTACTTAGACCAATGATGAGATAGACACATGCTGTCCAAAATAATAATTACATAATAACATTTTTAATTCCCAGGTGATTCTGATGATCCTCCAGATTTGAAAACTTCACCGTCCTTAAGATATCAGAGCATTTGAGGGCCTCCCATATAGAAAGCACTTTGTGTTCATTATTTCAAATCATTAAATTAAACTATTAGGTAGGCATTATTCAGAGATAAACAAACCAAGGCTTGGAGACATTAAGAAATTTGCTTGAGGCCACGATACCAGGACGGCCAAAGCTGAGATTCAAACCCCAGTCCTTGCTGTTTCACCTCACCCCCTGAACTCCCAGCAGCCAGAGTTGTCAGACTGGGAGAGAGTTCTCGGGAGGTGAGGTCTGGCCTTTTGGGGACCCAGAGACGAGCCACCAGGAGATTCCTCTTGAGAACAAACCCCTCGTTCTTTAAGGCGGCACCTCTCCAAACAAGAGTTCACCTCTCTTTCCTGTTCACTCTCCAGGTGAGGTGTGTGTGGTATCCTGGTGAGAGGGCCATCTGCCTCACTCATTCTATTGCTTATCAACTCCCAGAAAAGACCCACCCCCAAAACACTAAGTCCGATTCCCTCCCTTACAGACCTTCCGCTGTGGAAGTAACGTCGAAAGACAGAGGTACAGCTGTAGTTGAAACTGTAGTGGCAAGAGGCTCCCATCTTCTCAACAGCTGAGTAACACCGGGAACATCAGATGTGGCAGAGGGGGACTCCTCTCCTTCCTCATTCTCACCATTTTCTCTGGTAACTTCCAGGGTAGAAACCTGCTGCTCTTGTGTCACCAGTGATAAAGTGGCTTCTGTTTCTTGAATGGCTGTTGTCATCTCTTGAGTGATGATGTCTTAAAAGAGGGGAAAACAACATTTTAAAGTTGTCCAAATCCCTATACCTTAAAAAGTTACTATATGATTAATAAATTGAAAAAACAAACAAACCAATAGCTATTTCAGAGAATGGGAAGGCGAAGGGATCGCACAGAAACAAAACACCAGTAAATAAATGTTCTCAAGTGTTTCTGCTTTCAGTAGTGAATCAATCTAAGAGAGATAAATTAGTTAATGTATAAAACATAAAATAAGATCTAAAACAAAATAAGAAAACCAACAGCTGAGCTCCCTTTTATGAATATCAACATAAGCAGCTTGTTAAGAAACAAATTATACAGAACTAGGTTTACACTTAAAATTTCTCAGAAGCATTCGTGTATATTAATTTCCACATTTACATTTTTGAAGGGGAAAGGGAAGTCAGCATTTTGTACTAAAGGGGTAATTCCAAAAACTAATGTTTGCTGAGTTTCTATTATATGACAAACACACAAACTGTTAAATGCATGGTGGGCATTATCTTATCTTACCCTCCCGTATGTACTAAGGGAAGGTAAGTACTAATATCGTTCCATGGAGGACATGTATCATAGATCAAGAATGCAGGCTCTAAAGCCAACTTACCTAGGTCTGAATTCTGACCCAGCCCCCTACCAGCTGTGTGACCTTGAACAAATTATTTAACATCTCTGGGTCTTGAGTTTCCTCAGCTGGAAAATGGAAATAATAACAGTATCTATCTCTCAGAGTTATTACAAAGATTAAATTAAATAACACATGTAAAATACTTAGTACACCTCCCATACTTGGTAAGTATTTAATAACATCAACTATTCCTACTCATTTTACAAACAACTTAAGTTTAGACAAGCTAAGGAACCTCCCAAAGCTTAATAGTTAGTGCTCTTAACCACTGTGCTAAATATGCCCATCAACAGATGAATGGATAAAGAAGTTTTGAGATATATATGACGTATTTATCATAGGTCCACTTTCTTTACATTGTAATCCACTCAAACAAACTATTAAAGACTATTTATAAGGGTCAATATTTGCCCCATCCTTAGGGAAGAACTACACTGGAAATTTCAAATTCTTAGCCACTATTAAAACTTAATTTGTAGAAAGCATATAGCATATTAGCAAGTCCAGTAAGTTATACAATGAAAAAATAACATTCTAGGAGTAACGAAAAAGATTGTTCTCAAAGTTTTTATCAATCACATCCTGGTACTTCCTATTACTTAAAAATATTTTTCCTTGGAAATGGTTTATTTGCTTTAAAATAGTGGTTGTACAGTTTTCAATATAAGCAGTACCTTTTCTTGGTCCCCATTCAGTTTGCACTATTTTTTTCTTTGAATTGAAGAGATTTTTACATTTAATGGATTGAGATACCTGGTTATAGGACAATGTGAATCAGAGTAAGTTTCTTACATGGCCTTCTTATGTGCTCTTTGTACCATTGTTTAAGTTTTTTTCTTTCTCCAATAAGATTGTAAATCTCCTCAGAACCATGATTCATTGCCCTTTTTGTACCTCCAGCACCTAGGACAATGTTGTTTGCCATAAAAAAATAACAATGTATAGTTTTATCATTTTAAGTAGTATAAATTCTCCATGTTGCCCTCATTTTTGAAAGCATAATAAACGCTTTTAAGAACAAATATGTAAAAATAAATGTGCAGGGCCGGCCGAGTGGCGCGATGGTTAAGAACTGGCTTGGGACGCCAGAGAGCCCCGGTTCGGATCCCACATATGAGGGCCAGTGACACTGCCTTCTACAGCTAAGATGCTGAACGACAGCTCAACCTGGAGCTGGGCTGCTGTGGGTCGCCGGTGACGGCTAGGCTGCAGCCCCTGTGGCAGTGGGTTTCCATGGGCTACCGTGTGTAGCCAGCAGCCAGCGTGAGCGGCCAGCAGCCGCAGTGAGCGGCTGTCCAGAAACCAGCGACTGATGTGCCTTGCCTGGAAAGAGCGCAATGATGGTGCCAACTTGGGCCAGTGAAGCAACGTCCTCCACAACTAGACTGAAGAACAAAACGACAGCAACTTGTCTGTT